AAGAAGGTAAATTTTGACAGTTTTTTGATGATTATAAATAGCTTAATTAGTACTTTGGGCGGTCACAAAATCGTAATACCCTGGTTCGAGTCCAGACCGACTTTTTTTTATTTTTTTTTCAAGTTCCTTTCTTTTTTGAGAAAATCTATTATTTCGAGCCCCTTTTTAGTATTTTTTTAAAAACACGAAAATTTAAATTAAACTAATTGCACTCATGATTTTTTATTCAAATAACCAGTTCAATTTTTTCTATTGTGTCGCTAAGATCAAAAAATATTCGTATTTCATCAGTATGTAATTTGTATCTAAATATAATTTCCAAAACACACGAATTAAAAAAAAAAACCGAGCGAAAAATACCGAGCAAAGCTCGGTCAACCAGGTACTTAGCTCTTAATTTTAGGCACTGCTAAAGAACAAAAAATGTCGTACATACCTTATGGTAAGGTAATAGTGGTCATGAACCCTATAATTTCCAGAATAATATCTTAATCTGCATCGGGTCTCGATAATCGCTCATCACTCAATTATATTATAAACTATTATCGTCACCGCGTTTCTAGTGATACGTTTTGCCAGCAACGCAAATTTCAACAGTTCGTTACGGGGAAAATTTTACTTAGCACCTTATTAGCACCTAAAAAGCCCCTAATTTTAGCTTTTCATAAATGCAAATTCAAATTGCTACCGAGACACAACTAAATAAGACAGTACTGTTACGAGCTTGAGGTTCGTGACAATAAAAATTGCCGATAGAATTACCTAAATTAACACTAATTTTCTTTACACAAATTAAAACTTAAAACACCAATAATTAATCACACTGATTCACTTTATTCCGCTCCGAAGCTTCGCTTGTCTTGCCAAATTCAATACTTCCCCTCGCTCTCGTCTCTGACACTAGATGGCGCTAGTGCCGTTGACTTAGGCGCGTAACACTGCCCCCTCCTAAGACATGCTCGTCCCGAGCATTATCGACCCCATAATAACGCGCCAGGCGATCCACATGGACGATCTTAGGAGTCCCTCTTGCGCCTTTCTGTAACGGCTCCGCAATGTCAAGGGCTGTCCTATCCCATGGTGCACCAACATTGTACAATTTCGGTGCTCCTCTACTACATGTCCGAGGTCCCCTCACGGCCGCACAACTTGTACATGTACGACACCAAGCCTCGACATCGTCACGATAATGGACCCAGTAAAACTGTTCTCGGATCTTCAGGAGAGTTCGTTTAACTCCCAGATGGACTCTTGAACGACCATTATGGTACAGCTGTAGAACATCCGGTACTTTAGCTTTAGGGACAACCATTTGCAAATGACAGCTGTCTCCCCGAAAATTTTCCCATTTACGGCACAGAACTCCATCCTGAAGCAGCAAGCTGTCCCACTGGGCCCAATAGCATTTAGTGATCGAACTCATCGCTGAGACGTCGCTCCACTTGGGCTTGGGAGCACTGGCCTTCATCCATTCCAGGATCGGCTTGATGTCCGGATCTTCCTGCTGTGCACGTTGTAAGCTGTCCTTCCACTCGTTGCTGAGGTGGTCTGCCCTGAGCATCCTCACGGATACCACTTCCTTACTCTCTTGCCTAGTACAATGTTTTCAATCTTCAGGACTAGGTCTTCTTGACAGTGCAACTGCGTTGCCATGAGATTTCCCGCTGCGATGTCTGATAGTAAACTCGTATCCCGGCTGCTGCTGGGCGGTGATGTTAGCCACACTTCCCTTCTGAGATCGTTCACCTTCCCTTTCTAGGGTTCGCTTAGGGCAGCTAGATCGAAGATGGCCCCATTCCCCACAGCCATAGCACCTAGGGCTGTATCCTTTATTGTGGTCGCGAACCGTAACTGCTGCAACCTCCCTAGCGTGGGGGGAGCGATGATCCTGTTGCCGCCAGGTGGTGCCGTTAGCTGCACTACCCTCTCGAGATCGTTCAACTTCCCTTTCTAGGGTTCGCTTAGGGCAGCTGGATCGAAGATGGCCCTTTTCCCCACAGCCATAGCACCTAGGGCTGTATCCTCTGTTGCGGTCGCGAACTGTAGCTGCTGCAACCTCCCTGACGCGATGGGAATGATGATCCTGCCGCACGGCTTCCACCTCCAGTGCATGGGCCAAGGCATCCTTAAGCGTATCGTGGTGCCCGAGCCTCACAGCAGCTCTGACTTCCAGGTCACGGATGCCGTCGATGAATGTCTGCACCAGGTTCCCTTCAATGAGCACAGGTACAGACCGGTATGCTTTTCGCACCAGCTTCTCCACCTCTAGAGCCCACTGCTGCAGGTTTTCGTTGATGCGCTGCACGCGATCTTTAAGCTGCGCACGATAGACGTGTTCCAGGTGAGCGTCGCCATATCTCGCCTCCAATGCCTCAAGGAGTTGCTCATAAGTCACTTCCTCACCGAGGGCTTCCAGAACTGTTAAGGCCTGGTCGCGCAGGCCTAGTGTGAGAGCAGTCATGGCCTGACTTTTATTCCAGCCGTTCGCCTTCATAACAGCCTAGAACTGGATTTTGTAGGCTGACCAGGAAGAAGTCCCGTCGAACGGTGGCACCTTGAACCCACGTAGCGAAGGTGTAGTAGCTACTACGGGAGCTGTAGTTCCATCCCCAAGTTTGAGTTCGTGCAGTGATTTCTTCATGTCAGACATTACGTTGCCAACCCGATTGTTCACTTGGTCGATTCGGGTTTCAGCTTCCGACAGGCGGTTGTCATGTTGAGCAACCTTATCCTTCACCTCCCTTATCTCTTTCCCGAAGGTAGCGTGAATGTACTTCATGAGGAGCATCTGCTCTTCCTTATCGCGCTTGAGCTGCTCTTCCAACCGACGGGCCTGTTCCTCCTGTCGGCGGGCCTGTTCCTCCTGTCGGCGGGCCTGTTCCTCCTGTCGGCGAGCCTGTTCATCCTGTCGGCGAGCCTGTTCCTCCTGCTGCTCTTTCAACCAACGGGCCTGCTCCTCTTGTCGGCGAGCCTGTTCCTCCTGTTGCTCCTTCAACCAACGAGCCTGCTCCTCCTGTCGGCGAGCCTGCTTCTGCAGCATCACCATCAGAGCACCTAAGTCAGATGCTGCAGATGTAGTAGCTACTGACGGGCCTGCAGCCGGCGGCTGGCCCTCCGACGTCTGTGGCGTTGCACCACCAAATCTTCTTTGGTCCGTCTCCAGCTGGCGTTGACTTCGGGTACTGACACCCTCCGTTTCCTCCTTAGGTAAAATCGGCATGATTTTATCCCACTTATGACACCAATTCTTACGAGCTTGAGGTTCGTGACAATAAAAATTGCCGATAGAATTACCTAAATTAACACTTTAATTTTCTTTACACAAATTAAAACTTAAAACACCAATAATTAATCACACTGATTCACTTTATTCCGCTCCGAAGCTTCGCTTGTCTCGCCAAATTCAATACTTCCCCTCGCTCTCGTCTCTGACACTAGATGGCGCTAGTGCCGTCGACTTAGGCGCGTAATAGTACGTTCCCCACGTAGCTGTACTCCCATTGGTAGCGGTACTTTTTCGCTTGCCCTCTGCAGCCGTCAAATCAACTATTTGGAGGGGTAATTAGAGTGTTAGATAGACGATTCCCTACTCGCCCTATACTTATTTTTTACTACTGGTATATTTTAAAATGGTATATCATAACTGGTGGGTTTGGTCAGTGACCAACGCAATCGAGACGTGCATTTCACTGATAGTTATACTAAAAAGCTCGAAGTCAAAGTTGCTTAGCGGATTATGTAAATAACTGCGTTCAGGTTTAAGGATGACTACTGAAAGTCCGAAGTAACCGACAAAACTGCTCTCACTAGACAAAGTGACCAACAAGGTTAACTATGCCAGTGGCTTAAAAGAATGTTTTGTAACAATAGAAATAGAAATAGAAATAGAAACTTTTTTATTCAATGTAGATTATAAAAATACTTATTGAAAGTCACTTTTTTAATTTACCACTGGTTCGCAAAAAAAAACCTCTGTCCTGGGAAGAACCAGCAAGAAACCCAGCGGGACTATTTTTTTTAATAATAGCTTACAATCATGTTTACAATCAACAACACAAGACAAATTAGAAATAGCTTGGTAGCGATCACCCTTCCCAGGGGTTATTATCATCTATAAATTCCTTAATCCAATATTTATAGAGGAGGTATTTAACAGTAAAGCTGTGTAATCTATATATAATAGTGATTGAAATTAGTTATTTAAGCTTAAATAGTTGTGACTATAATTTTCGTTTTACTTTAGTTAAAATAAAACAAAAAATAAGAATTTAGTAAAAATAAGAATTTATTTATCAACTCAGGCTTTGAGGTCGGTTACTAATATTGATTTCGATCTAATTGCCTTCGCAACAATACTACCATGCACTCTATTAAGTCTACCTCTTCTTACTGCCGTGCACCCAAAAGTAAAGTGAAGAACGTAGTTCTTGGCAGCTGCCGTCCGCTGCGCTCAGCAGTCTGCCGTCCTTTGGTCACAAAATTACTCCGGATGGAGTTTCTGAAAGATGTATGCATTCCAAGCATTAGTACGAGTATATATCAAAAATATTTGGGTACTGCATGTAATTTAGCTTAGATATTTTAATTTTTAAATTAATAAACTGACATTTAAAGTGCCCTTATATGCACTGGAGCTATGCGATGAACTTATTGCTTCATAACCTTCTTAGAAATAAGAGGTCTGTGATCAGCTGTGTGATGTATATTACTTCTTCTTCACTTCTCTTCTACGCCAAACTCCAAGACAATAGTAGACGACTGGTGCATACGTATTAGGAATCTGGTTAGTAAGTTCTACAAATAGAAATTGTTAGATCTCGATAAGTTTGCATAGTCGTACGACCAACGTCGCTACGGTTATTCCAAACGATAAAAAAGCTCAGACTTTAGCAAGTACTAGCTACCGACTTTGTCGACAAAAGACTTATCAAATAGGACACGACGTTATTACCTCTATAGTTCGTATTTGATACATAATTGTTTAACAAAAATATTTTTAGCCATGGGCACTGGTCCACAACTTAATATCTCCATGGCGCTAGACGGACCGGAAGAGAACGAAGAAACGAAGAACGACGATGAGGAATATGTAATAGTGACATGCGAGGCTAATGACGTCGCCCCTTATCCAGACCTCTCAATTACTGTGGCTGGGTAAGATATTTTTGTCGTCATTTATGTTCATTTGTTTTGACATTAATTATTAAAGATAGGAAATGTTGATATATCAATAATATCCTTTGTAAGTGAAAAGACCTTGTTTTGAGTTTTATTAATACATATAAGAAAATGCTAACTATGCTAAGCTTGTAAAATCACTTAAATATTGTTTTAGTTAAACTGCACTCATGGACATACAACAAACTAGCTATTGCCGTATCTAATGAGATAAAACTAACATTGTTCAACAAAACAAAACTAAGGCTATTTAAAATAAATTCACTTTCTGACGTTTTAAAATCATAGGCATTGTCCTATTGCCATCGTTCGTACGATGATGCGATGCGATTTCATCGTCCGATGAATCCGCACGCGTGTTTTTTTCAGTCGCATCACATGATCACACGACGTTCAATAGAACATTACGCAAATATGAGTATGTTTAAAAACACAGTCGCACGATCATTTTCGTCGGACGCAACGCATGATCACGCGAGCTATGGCAATAGGACAGCACCATAGGCGTCGTCCCAATAGGCAACAATCCTACGAGCAAACGATGCGGTTTTGTCGCACGACGACATTAAACATACAGATATACCACACAGAATACCAGCGTAAAATAGTAGCTTAATGCTGCTGTGTTTCGTATGGTGAATGTAGAGAATCCGACACCCTTTTTACTGGAAACGAGGCATTCCCTCTTAATCTTCACGGGTGACAACGCATCTGTATTTTGATTCGTAATCGAGGATAGATGTAGATGTTTCTATGGGCCATAGCAACCACTTACCATCAGGTGCACTGTGTACTCGTTTGTTACCTTATCCTATAAAAAATATCTATAGTTCTGATTGAATCTTGCAAGTCATCGCGAGAGCAGAAGTAATGCTTAATAAAGATCGTACGATCTTGCAACCCAAGCTACAAATTTCTTTTGTGATGTCATAATTCGCGCGAGCGTAGCAACGCAACCGTGAGTCGAGTTAGAGACGAGTAGAAACCTATAAGAGAGAAAAAAAAACTGTGCATCTCAGTAAAAATAGCTTTTGTCGAAATGGCGCCGTTGCGGTGATGACGCGGTATCAAAGAATACAGTAATACATACATAATAGAACGGGGGAGCGGCCGGAGCCCGTGTAGCCACTAAAATGCCACTAACACGTCAATTCACACGTATAAATGTCAACACGAAATTTGTTTTGACGTTACAATTGTTTCCAAATTACCCATGCAAATTATTTAGAAAATGCCAAATTGCACGCTATTTACAAATAAATATGTATTTAAATCCGTCTGTCAACACAATCGGGTTTGTAGTAGTGATTAACTGATAATACGACGTAAATGCTTGTATGTGTGCTCCCGGCGACGCTTGTCCTCGTACAAAATAAGGTTGACAGCCATTCTATTCTGTATTATAGTATTCTATGCGCGGTATCATCGCGCGTTCGGAATCGCGCGATCTATTAGGACACCTGTTGAACCATCGCACGATCTTTTTCATAGTACGATGAAATTGCATCAAATTGTACGATCGATAGCCAATAAGGACGACGCCATAGTGTATTAAAAGAATTGAAGCGACGTCTTCAGAATGTGAAATCATTTTATTCCTTTTATGTCTTTGATGTTGACTTTTAGTTTTTGTTAAAAGTAACTTTTAACCCTTTGAAATTATGAAATTTTTCTCCAAATTTATACGATAGTACGGGACCAACTATAAAATACAACCTATTTAATAAAAACAATCTTTAAAATCGGGTCTTATAGTTTTCCACTCACCAGATGTCGCTACTGAAGTTAATTATTTGTTACACAGTGCCATCATAAGTTGAAAGTTTCATATAACTTTTATTCGTTTTCTAGGTTATGTACATAAGTACATAAAATGATGCCGCAGTGGTTGCTCCCTAATTTTTTGTAGATTTTTAATTCTTTTACATCTAGAAATGTGTGTAGGTTCTTTTTTTATATGATAAGGGTGATAAACGAGCACACAGTCTACCTGATCGCAAGTGGTCGCTGTAGCCCATAGACATCTACGTACATATATCCTCGATTACGAATCAATATGCATATATGTCATCACCCGTGAGGACTAAGATGGAATGGCTCGTTTCCAGTAAAAACTAACACTAACCTTTATATTTTACTAGCAATTTTGCTCCCGCTCCAAGAAATCTGTCAAATATTGCACCTCAAGTGGCGCCGCCCTGGTTGCCTGACTTTTATAAAGATTTTTTCCGGGCATTTTTTTCACACTCAGTATTAATTGTTACCAGAACTTACTTTATAAAAAGTATGCTCTAATATATATTTAAATAATAATAATAATTAAATCATATATAAGTCTTCGTTACATTAGATTTCATTCTCCTACCAATTCACTTTTAATTCCCAGTATACACGGCAACTATAAAACGAACTGCACAGTTCATTTGCGCAGTTTATCGAACGTCGGTAGTGCGTCCACACATTTACTACATCTGCGTCGATCATCAGTTGTCGGCAGAAACTCAGAAAAAAAACACGTCATCCGTGATGGAAGACGATGAAGCGCTTGCGCTAGCCTGACTTGTTTTGTGCAAAAAGAAAAGAAAGTCATATTCTCATATAAATTTATTAAAAGAGTTGAAATTTTCCCCAAAAGACTAGCACAATTATTTGATGACGAATGAAGAGACTTACTTACACCTCCTGTTTTTAGTTACACCGCTAATACAAAAAAGCAATACCGTGATAAGGGAAGCAATAAGTTATCATGAAAGATTGTCTGCAACTCTGAGGTTTTTAGCTACAGATCGCTCGTACGAATGTATGAAATTTTCTACGTTGATATCAAAACAGGCTCTCAGTCAAATCATTCCTGAAACGAACGAACTGAATGATTGGTCTGACTTCCGTACACACACTACGATAAAACTGTGAAAGGCGATCGACAACGATTTATCGAATAGATTTTAAACCTTGCTCCGATGGCTTGCACCAACCAAAAAATCTGCGCCGATTTTTGTACACACGTTCGATAAAACTGCACAAATGGTCTGCGCAGTCAGTTTGCAACGATAAGTCGTAAGCCGTAACACTTGATGTTAGCTAATACTATATTCATGTGTTTAACTGCCTTGCCAGCTTATACCTAAGGTGCTCTATCGGTTAGGTCTGGCGAGTGGGCTGGTCACTTCAAAACTTCGTTTTCGATCCCTAAGACATTCTAAAACTATTTATGCAGTGCATGTCATAGCATTTTCATGCATTTAAAGAAAATTATCTCCAATGTATTGAACAGTATGCACCACGATCTGTTCGAACAGTTTTCAAAGATGTATAGCTCCATACGAGCCTCCTTCAAATGCCTCCCCAAACCATTATTGACCCTCCAACATTAGGCTCTCTTCCAACAATGTTATTGCAGCACATGTTTTTCCGGATCGCCGCCATACTTTGGTCATTCCATCATCAGGCTCAATACTAAACCAGTACTTGTCAGTAAAGTGTAATCTTCTCCAAGTATCATCATCCTATCATTGGTAAGCGTAAGTAAGGATATTCTGATAAGTGAGTGACACTCACCTATCAGAATATCTTCTCGCTTTTAGTCTTTTTTTGATTTTACTGTCAGAAGTCGAACTTCCTGCAGCAACACTTCTTATACCTATAATAAATCTGTCCTCTCTTGTTGTTGTTACTTTTTGCAACCTTATTGCAACTTTCATTTAACATTAGATAAAATTACAGACTTGAAAAATTAGCAATGTTTAGGCTACTTGATTGAAAATGTTGAACTACCCTGAGATCCGGCATTATCACGTGATCAAGTGATCGTTAGTCGTGACTAAACAGGACAAAGTAAATAAATAATTTAGGGATGATCCCATATAAATTTAAAGAAAACATTCCATCCCTAAGGGTTGAAAAATAAGCGATGAACATTTTAATGTTAATATGAAAACGACCATTTAGTTGTTACCCTAAACATATGAGTTTTAATGTTGAAATAATTTTGTTATTTTAGTTTTTGAAGTTTTTTTTTCCTTTAAAATAAAAGTTCATGTCTTGCGTTCTTCTAAATTTGTATGTCCATTTTCAAAATATCGCCAATTTGGTCGATAAACTTTTTTCTAGGGCGTCCCTTCCCGACTCTGCCGTTCACATCTGCCATATAAATTTGTTTTGTCACTCTTTCCTCATTCATTCTTTCTACATGACCAAACTTTTATGACCTGTCTTTTATTATCTTTTCACAGGAATATAGCCAACTTATCAGAAACCGTAAATGGCCCTATTGAGGGATTATACGATATATTTGCGAATGCAACTGTTTCTAAGAATCTAGCTGAGGGTGCAGAAATACGCTGTGAACTTTTCTTTAAAAATGATAATATCTCACATCCTGCTTATGTGGACATCGAGACGTTCAATACATCAGGTATGAATTAGAAATTGGTATTGATTTATATGTAATATAGATGCTTTATTAAAAAAAAGATTAAAATTAATTTTATTTAATTGTTCATAAAGTTATTAATTACATAATTGAACCAGACAATAATGAATATATTTGTTAATATTTACAGATATAGAATATTAAGGAACTCATTATTCTTAAAGAGTCAAAGACCGCTTTAATTCTTAAGTAATATTATTTTTATTAGTTATTAAGAAAGATAACAAACAGGTTCATATTTTTGTAACGTAGTTAAAAAACAAATTGTACGATAAATCGTCAAAATTTTATCTATTTATAGGAATGTCTAACATTGCATGACGCCGTAACTGCACATTGATGTTCGCTGAGCAATAACACAGTTTAAAGATAACAGTTGTGAAACGCCTTTGATGTCAGGGGATGCCGCCGCCTGCGTAGGTATTTACGCGGCCAGCTTGTGTGCAAGGGGTTGTCACGAAAATGGAAATAAAATGATTTTGGTTACTATAATACTCACTATCATTTATTAACATTATGCACATATTATAAATTAAAAATATTTATTGAAAAAGATCATTTCTATCGCTACAAGAAAAAATAAATTTACAAGTGTTGCACTGCCAAATATTTTCGTGACACTTTCTTTTATAAGTAGATGCTTTCAGTTTTCGATAAATTTAATTATGTAGTGTATTCGAATTCGGATAAACAATTTTATCAAAAACAAAACGAGTTAAACATTAAGCATTTCCGTCATTTGAATTCAACCTTACTTAGTAATACATATATGTATATTATTCGCCATTATGGCTATTACATTTTTCGAAAACGGCACTTAAGGTCGCTGCATATGTAACGTGTTTTATTTCGGACGGAGCAGGACGAAACTTTTTGGAAATATCGTATACATAAAAAAATTCTGTGGCGGAAAATTGCAGTGGAATCTACTCACTACCAACGGTTGATTTTATTTTTTATTTATGTTGTCATACGAAAATACATATCATACAGTGGCGAAGCTTCTATACAAGCCCAAAAGCCCGGCTTGCCTCATTAAGATGAATCAATCATCAATTATATTAAGTAATAAAATAACTCGTAAACTGTTTCAAACTATTTCAAATTTCCCGCGCACTCTGTGAGACCTCGTAGCCTTACGAATACTGCTGTCATACAAAAAGGAGAGTTGAATTGAGCGATTGGTTTTCTCCTCTTACCGGGCTTTTTACCGGGCTTTCGAGAAGGCGATCGCTGCCTTTCTAACCTGTGGCAAAATGTTCTATAATGAAATATAACTACGATTGTATAAATCGTCCGTGAACTTCTGAGATCTCCTATCTACCTACAAACAAATTTTACAGTAGGGCCATAAAACTGATTTATTTCCTTTTCACGATGTTTTTTTATAAAACAAAAAAAGTAGTTGGTCGGTTTTTATGTCATTTTATTAATTATAATTAAATAAAGTTAGTGCTGTTGTTTTTTTTTGTTTTATGTTAGTTAGGAGTTTTAAGTTTTCGAATTCAATACCAAAGTCAGATAGGAGATATTTCCTTTAGTTACTTAGGAGAAATCAACCCCCAAAGTGTGCATCTAACTTAAATTTTGAACTAAGGAAGAACAATAAAATACAGAAATATAATATTTATTTATGTTGCTAAAGGGAAATGTTACAAAATCACAATCAGACATTAATAAAAATATGAGAAACAAAACTTAAACTTAAACAGTCTTGAAAAAGGTTGCTTTAAAAATTAATTAACATTCTTAAAATTATTTCAAATCTTTGAGGTTTTTATAAAACTTAAAATAATCTTAGCAAGTAATTCGCATCATTTATCCAGCATGTTAAATCATATTTCTAATACTAAGGTAACATTAGGAATGTTAATGTTCATTATGAGGTAAACTGTCGTAAAAGGAATGACAGTCCAATGGGATAACAGACTTTAGCTCCTGTAAATGTTTATATTTTTGGTATGTGATAGGTATTCTATTCCTATGCAGGGATGCGTAGGTACTCTCTTATGATGGCAATTTTATTAACCCTTTGAGGGAGGCTATCCCAATCGGAGTCAAAGTCCAATTTAAACTTAATCAGGCCTGTGTTGTCAAAAAAATTGCCCTTATATCACTAACTTTTGGATCTCCAGCTTTGCGTCCCGGTCGGATCGAAGTGTAGCGCCATGTTTCAGGAGCCGAATAGTTTTTGAAAAATGTATAGTCTACCATTACAGTTTCGTACTCACAAGGATTTTTGCGAGCTTCTTTGGTAACCGACAGGTAATCACTTGGTAAGTAGATTAGCCCATTTTTCAATTTCCTTTCTATAGCGCTATGTACACAATCTCCTTCCATCTGCGTGTGTCCGACTTCAAGATATTTTTGTATTATAGCCACTTGATGTTGCATGGAGAAATTCAATAAAGCATTCGATAATATATTGTTTCGGTTCTGGCTTGTGCAGCCATCTGAGTATATTATTATGGGTAGATGTTTGGGAAGGCTATGGCGGGTCAAATAATCAATAATAAATGACGCATAGGTAGACGCTGATAGATCACCTTCCGTTTCTGTAAACCAGTAACATGTAGACTCATGAGATGCTAAATCATAGATGGTAAAATTATGTACACATAATTTTGTTTTATAGTAAACAGCACTAGCTGTGATAAACGGACATATTTTAACCGATTGTAAATCCATTGTTAAAACTATGCAGTTTCCCTTGATCGCCTCACTTTTATCCATAGATTTTTCTTCACGGGCTCGATTTTTTCTTCTTAGATGTGTTTGGTAGTCAATTTCGCTTACATTACCGCTCTGATGACCTACACAAACATCACACATGTCCTTCTTTATTGTGTGGATAGCTATATTCTTCGATTTGATAGTTTGATTGAATTTATTTCTAGCGTAAGGATCTGCATTTTTTTCTGAGCAGTAAGTATTGTATAAGTGAGTGGCGTTGCGATAAATTGGTTCCAAGTAGACTTTGGTAGTGTTATGACGGTTGTAATGCGACGGCATTTTAGGTAATACATTGAAAAAGTTATCGAGAATGTCAAGTCTTTGAGACAATTGCGCTTTAGGACGACGGTTACGATTATTATTTTTTTCAGATAGATGCATGCCACTTATTCCTTTTTTTGCCCTATTTTGAACTGAAAATGTTCCAATACACAAAGTTTGAATAAACATTTCACGGCACACACGCTTCTTAGTTGTGGTTCCATCTACAGAATTAGTCACTGGAAGAAAATAAACGAAAGTACAAGCTCTTCTCGAATTTATTGATGTCTGCCTACCTTTTTCCTGAAAAGTTATGTTGTTAGCAACATACACTTTTCGTTGATGCCAGTCCATATTGCTCCAGAATTGTCGAAATATCTTCTCTCTGTCCTCATCCCCTACTTCATCACAACATCTCAACTTACTATTTCTACAAAAATCTGAATTGCATTTAGGGCCAAGGACCCTTTGGTTTCGAATTTGGCTTTGTACTTTCTCACCCTTTGGTCTTTTGTAACCGACATACTCTTTCCCCTCCTTTTTTACTTTTCTTCCAACTTTCGGGTTGAGCTAGTCTCTGTCTACTTCGGCCTTCAATCATATCTCCAAAGTGAACTACCTCTTCGTTCGTTTGCAGAGTCTCTTCATTTGGAGGGATATTTTCTGAATCCGAACTTAAAGCACCACGATCATTGGGTGGTTCGTAATCGCTGTCGTCATCAGGCGAAAAGTCCTCACAAGCATCTCTCACAGGTGGTGGTGAAGTTGGCCTCGGAGACGGTGTTTCTAATAGCGACGGTGAGTCAAGCGCCACTAGGTCTTCTAATTGAATGAGGTCATTGTCTGCAGTTAGTAAAATTTCCCCTAACTGAGATTCAATCCTTTCAAAAGAATGTGGTTCTGTTAGGACATTTTTTACCAAAACAGAAACAGGTGTATGAGACGTAGATGCCATATTCTCTGGTTCAATTGGATTGCAAATTATATTAACGAGTGCATGTGCTCTGTTTCTTGATGCCATTATGACAAAATCTGAAATAAATAAGTTATCTTTTAACTACACAAAATACCAAATAATTTATGATCGTACTCCTCAGACAGGTTAAAAGATCGTAGATATTTAAGAAGGTAAAAGTAAGTACTAAACTTTTAAGAAATTTCTTCTAACTGCATTAATTGAAAACATAACTTACCAAATTGAAGTAAAAAGTGTTCAAAGAAATTACTCCTATCTGACAAAAAAACTTTAACCTGAAATAAATCATAGCTAATAATAATATACGTACCTACTTTATGAAACAAAATCAGTGAAACACCTTCAGTTAGCTATAACACTAATGTAAATAGCAACGAAGTGATAAAAATACCAAAAAAATACTTTTAAATGCCAAACGCCAGAATACTAAATAGCCGTGTACGCGCTTCGAGCAAACTGTTAGTTAGGAGAAATTTCCAGCAAAAATAGGGCGGCAAAATTTAGAAGGTATTTCTCCGAACGGATTGTGACCAAAAAAACAAGTATTTTATTTAGGAGGTTAATGCATTCTATTGGTTCTGATCTCTGTCAAACGATGGCGTTAAAAAAGGTTTTGCGAAAAAATGCGAGTTAGGAGGTATCAGAAGTTCACGGACGAAATAGCAATTAGTATGGAGCTAAAAAGCCCGGCTTTTTAGTGACCTTTAATTTTTTCCTCAGAGTGGGACGCCTTTAAAATTATTATAGTTCTAACATTTTTGACTGCATTCTTGGTCTAATGGCAGTAAACGCAATTGCTGATCATGTGGTCCCAAGTTCGAAACCCGAGTTGGGTCAAGAATCATTTATTGGGTTTTTCCGTCACAAAATTCTCAGTAGCAGTAGTACTACACTTATTGTATATGTTAGTATTTTACTTACGCCATTATTAAAAATCAATCTGGAACCCTTTAATATAGTTTTATAAATAAAACACATAGTTGTTTGAGTCTTTTAATGATCAAAAGTGAAT